CGGTTCCCACTCACTGGCTGAGCGCGGTGCGGGCGTGACACCGAAGGTTGCGATCCCGTTGCCGGTCCCCGGTATGGGCGCGACACCGAGGGTTGCGATCCCGTTACTGGTCAGTAAAAAAGACAAAAAGGAAAAAAAAAAAAAAGCAGCACATTGGGTGTTCCAAACAGAAAAGGCTTCCTTAAATGTTACTGACCGTCCAGAAGACACAGGTGCTTGATGACTTTGGGTCATAAGCCCAGACCGAGCTGAGACCTGCTGGAGGATGACCTGCTTCCTGGGCCCCTCCCCCCTGTCCCTCCGGCCACAAGGTTCATGCAAGGACACCTATTTTACAGAGAATGTTCCCACCAGTGGGTTCTTGGGGCAGATGCCACAGCCAGCTCTCCATGCTCCCAGGCACCAGGAACCATGTCCCATCACCTGCAACTGCACCTGCTGAGCCGCTTTTCTGGGCTCTGTTAAAAATGACACCCCCCCTTCCAGTGAACCTCATCTGTGGGGGGTCATGGATTCTTCAGCTTTGTTTGGTTTCTACATTGTCTGATGGTGTCTGCTTTATGTCCTTCCAGAAATCCCTCTGTTTCTGTCCCCTGTGGCTCCTGCCTTTTCAGCTGTGCTGCTGTGTATTAATTTTTTTTTGCTCCCTGGGTGCTTCCCCAAATCCTCAGGCCTTCCATCAGCCTCCTCCTGGGGAGGGACCCCAAGCATGGATGTGTGTCTGTGGCCGGGCCGTGGCCAGGCTCTGTAAGGCTTGGAAGTCATACAGTTGTAGTGACCTTCGTTATGAAAGGAATAACAAAATATTAAGTATAAAAGCATATATTAATTTACACTGATGAAAATCACAACAGACTATGAATTTAGAAAAGTCAAGTCACATAGGCAGCAAACATCCAGAAAAAACAATAGACTGTTTTTATTAATTGCTAACACTTCTATAACACTTTTGCCCCTATTTTCCTGACTTTGTAGTCTTGGATCACATGTTTACAATTTAACATTTATAATATTTTCTATAGAGAAGATAAAAATTAATTAATTTAATCTTCCCATGGATAAGATTGAGCTCAATTTTTTTCTGATAGGTGTCGCTCAGAACATGTAACTTCACATCTAGATAACTTGCTGTTGGCAACACAGCCCTAGATTTGTGCCACAGACACAGATCTTCTGATAAATTGTACTTAATGTGATTTCCATAATAAATGGAAATAAACCTCCATTTTGATTAGGAATTGTTGAGAACTGAATTTTCTGCTTACACTTTAATATGTCTGTTGATTTTCCACCCACGAGCTCTCGATCTGTACATTTAAAGCGTGGGTTTTCCTCCACCACCATGACCTTTCCAGGGCCTGCACCCAAAGGCCTGCACCCTCACATTGATGCCACCTGGGTCAGCTGAGGAGGCAGGCCTGCAGGTGTAGTCTCAACCAGCACCATCTGGAGTGACCTTTCCAGGGCCTGCACCCAAAGGCCTGCACCCTCACATTGATGCCACCTGGGTCAGCCGAGGAGGCAGGCCTGCAGGTGTAGTCTCAACCAGCACCATCTGGAGGTTTTGCAGCCTGCGAGCTCACAAAGATAGTGGTGATAGATTTGGGGGGCTTTAGGGGTTCGCGGGCACTTGGCTTTTGCCTATGGGATATTTGAAAAGCTTCCATCCAATAAGGGAGTGCAGGATGATGAGACCAGGTGAAAAGCTGGAGCGATAGAAGTTGGGTGGTGTCAGCCCACATCCCAAGAGGGAGGTGGTCACATGCCTGAAATCCAAGCGTCGCCGGCTCCATGGAGTCACACCAGGGTCACTTTTGAATGGGCATTTATCCCGGGGCCAAGGTGGACTGAGACCAGCCACCGAGAGAAACCACAAGGTCAAACACCCCATGCTCCCTACTCCCCCATCAACCCCAGAATTGCTTAGATTAGGTTTTCTGCTTCCATGAGTGGTGCTTAGATCAGAAATGAAAGGAATTACAGAAATAAAGAAATTTGCATTTTGCACCCCTGAGTTTTGTGCAGTGCCAAGATCACAGAACAAGTTACCCTCGCATGAGGAAAATGACCTCCCAAGACCACAGGTGGGAGTTGCTCAATGCAGCTGCAGGGGATTTTCAAAAAGCAAAAGATTGGCTCAATTTTAGCATCAGAATTTAAAAACCAGGAATGGATTATAACCCACAAAATAAGAGATTGCAAGTCTGTGTGTCACTAAATAAA